GTTTCTTTTTGGTACGATCCAATGCTACATAATTAGCAGTCTCCCGAGCTCCCAGATGCTACTGGCTAATGCAACGGCTTCAACTTGCGCTTTGATCGTTTTGCTCCCAGTACTCACGCTTAGCCAAGGTGTCCTTGTAGTTGACCTAGTTGCAGTGGCGTATGTGTGTGGGGATGCGCCTCTCCTCTTCGCATGGCCAAGGTCGACGGATCGCCAAACCCTCTCCGGCGAGCGGTCTTTTCGCCCCAACTACATTACCTTGCCACCCACTAGCCACTTTTAGCGCTTTTCTCAAATCAATTCTTCTATTGTCAAATTCTGTGCTGCCCATTTCCCTCTGTCTCTTTGATGGTTTCCTTCCATTGCGCTGTTAACCTTTGCCCCCTTCAAACTGCTATTTTCGAGTGTTTTCTCATTTTCTAACCACAAACATTATATTTTTGCTAATCTGCTGCTTGCAGCTGCGCTCGGTTTACTTGTTTCTTTTTATTTCTACTACAAATTCTTGTTGGTACTGATTCATCATTTGCTTTTCTGTTACAAGTTTTATTCCGCTTGATACTCCTTGAAAGAACCCAGCAAGCATTTTAGAGACGACTCCTGCCCTGGGCTTACGGTAACCCACGCAGGAGTTCCAACTTCCAGTGTTGGGATCCACAGTAGCTTACATCAAGACGATTTTCTTCGTTTCTCCGTAAGGAAAGATTGGGCGCTTTCTCAAATCGCACCTTGTTCCATCTTGCGTGGATTATTCCTGGTTGGTCGCTTCAGCAGTCCCCTCTACCATCCGATACAGTCGTCAGCTCAAGTACAGCTTAGTTTAGCCTCGAAATTGTGCACTTGCGCGTCGTCATCGCTAATTCCCACCCGACGCGACCTTGCACTCTCGTTACGTGCCAGTCGGTACTTTTGAGGCCATTGCCACGTGAAGGCGTGGCCCAGCACGCGCTGTAAACAACCATGGGCGGGGTCAATGTCACATAGTGGGCGGCGCTTGCACGTGTAGGGCATAGGCTGAAGGCAGTCGTGTCTGAGTACTGTAGTTGAAAAAATGATAGTTATCGTATGCGGGTTTGGTAGTATTTTAAACGTCAAGGGAAAAGTAACACACACCAGGATTCAGACGCTTGAGGAACGGCTCAAGGGTGAACATTGCAGTGGTATGTGGAAAAAGCTTAGTCAAAAGAACTTAGGGGCATGGTGAGCTTCTTTTGTAGTGTCCGTTGGGGATTCTACGATTGTGACTAGCCATCCCAATCGCAAGCAATCGCCATAGAATTTCCATTTTCAGAAGGATCGCCGAGAATGGCTGAAACCGGTTGCAAGCAGCCCCTAGGACTTGTGTGGAAGCGTCCAAGGGAATGGCCGATTTCGCGCCAATCTCATACAATCTTTTCACAAACATGAATGGCTATTTCTATAAGGAATGTTGACGAACACACGGTCAATGATATTACTGTTAGCAACCAGTTAATGGCGAGAATTTTTTGAGAGCTCACCTTAATTCTAAGGACCCTGCAAGTTGGCCACATATCGCTTGTGCACCAAAGTCTTTAATTTGTTGTCTACACTCATTTAGCCATTGTAAAAAAGTTTTTGAAGATTATTTTTCCCAGAATATTTTCTATTTCTCCAGCGGAGAATCAATTTCTGCATTACCCATGAATTTTAGGCAGTTTTCTACCGATTCGTATTATTTCAGCCCTTGTCACGTTGATATATCTCACCTCAAGCTTCTCATCTTCATCATCTACTTATCTCAATGCTCAATTACTGACTTCAGAAGAGGTCCGCAGTCAATACACTGTAATCTAAATCGGTCAACTAGTGGTTGGGTTGCGATCGGCCTGCTCTTCTTCAGTCTTGTCTGGAATTTGCCGTTGTCTGGAATTACTATGATCTTTCCAATACCTTCAGATGAAAAATCGCTATAATTTGACGTGCCGGATTTTCTGTTCGCGGCGAAAACGTCGCACATAGAAAGGTACTTTCACTCCCGTACAGATACGATCCGGATAACTGTTCGTCCTGACTTAATTCTCACTCCAAAGGTCTTTTGTGCAGATTTTGTCATAAAATGGTCTTCTACGTTTGAGAGTTTTCGATAAAACCGTCGAAAATATATTCTCTCCATATGCCGAAATTTAACCTGGTAGAAGGTCGAAAGCTGCCAGTGATATTGCTTCTCTCGACATTATTACACATACCCTAAATTCGTTTCTGACGGCGTTATTCCTTTGATGGAATTTGATAGAACTGATTGCGCTTGGCTATAGGCGTCTAGCTTCTTTGTGAGCCTGACAACCCATTGGCGTGCGAGATAGACAAGACGATCTCGATCCGATGGCGCTCAGCTGGAACGGCTATCGGGTGTCCAGTTTGGACGGCCCACTCTCGCCATCCAAAAACAGCTCCATTATGCTTGGTGCGACGACTGCAACGAGTTTTTCGCGTGCAGATTAGCCGATGGACGAGCGCCTAGCCCAGCCAACGATACGCCTCTGACGACTGCCTTCTCCCCTCCCCTTGACGTTGACGTTGAAGCATTAGCTATCTCTTTCTTCAATAACAGTTCACAGATTGTTATTCTATATCGCATATTTATTTTTCTCATGTGAATGCCTCATGGGGGCTTATTCGAATTTGTTACTTCGTTTCTTTCTTTACCTTATACTAGGTCACGGCTTTCTTCTTCGAAACTGCTCTGGTCTGATTCAGCCTGTTTTCCCGAACTGCCGCAGGCGATAGAGTAGTTGACCATTTCAAATATTCCTGCTTTACTTAGATGTTTCTTCTCGAAGACTGTGAAATTCACCGGAGAGCGAGGATACATTTGTTGTGAGGTGATGGTGGAATTCAAGAGGGCGATGCGTGGAAGAACGAGGCTGTTGATGCCGGACCTCTTCAAGTGCAAGAAGTTCGCGGTCTGCGCGAGTCATACAGCGCCTTCCAACCGGTCATCACCAGGATGTTGCAATTACGACGCCGATCAACGCTCGCTGGCGCCTGTTGGCGTTTTCATTCACTCCCTACCGGGATTTTAGGCTTTCTCTAGGAAAGGTTTGACCAGGAGTGAACAGGGACTTCCATCAACCCCGTAATGTGGATTTTGTGATAGCAGTCTTAGCGTCGGTGACAGTTTTAGCAAACTTGAAGAACTGATAAGGGAACTCTGACGGCTGGTCTCTAACGGCAACGATAGACAGGAATGACGGTGGCGAGCCACTGAACAGCTCTTGCTTCCATTTTCATTGAACTTGTTTTTCGTTTGATCTCAACTTTATTTGAACCTCACCGCATGCATCCACCTGGGAACACCTCCCATTTCTTCGTTACCTTCGATATTTTCGTTGAACTTTTTGTGCGTACGAGTTTTCGCTGAGGACAGAACGTTTAGATGGGCGAAGACCGAGGTGATGGCTCTTCAGCAGGGCTTCCACCGTTTGGAGCCCTGCCACAACAGCCCGCAGCTCAGAATCGACCGCCTCAACCTGCACAAGGTGGGTTGCCGATTTATACTTTTATTATATCGCGTAGACATTGTCACACCTCCTTTTACCTTAAGTTCGGAAAAGACTATTTACATCCAATTTGGCACAAGCACTACTCATAGCAGTATCGAGTAATGTCCGTTTAATGATAGGCTATCAGCAACCCAAAACAAAAGCGCCCTGTTTTGGCTGATAAAATCGTCTTCGTAAAACAAAAATCGTGAACAACAACTAGTTCTTCGTTACTAATGGAGTCCCGATCTAGCAAAATGATTTTTGCCCTTAGTCGTTTTTCATAAATTTGAGGGGGGCGTAGATAACTCTTTATCGATAGAGTGGGCTTGGGAAGTTTTTCCGCCGATTGTTATTGCCCACTGATATTTGATAAATGGTTCTTCAGAAGATTACAAAACAAAAAGGAAGTCACCAAATAAGCTTGAGAAGCTCTTAAGAAGCGGCCTCTAGTTGACAAACAAGTTCGTAAGGGAATTTTCGGTTGGAGCTGGTTAACTGGAAATATCGAAATTCGTCGTTCGGGTTCGTACTTCGATTTTCCTTTTACAATTAGTTATGACAGGGATTCACAGCTTAGGAATTTCTTCTTACTCAAACGGGATACGGTAAGGGAGCAAGTGAAGTTCTCACCCGTTGATGACTGCACCGTTAGCGATGTGTAACAAGGAGCAGAAACCTTTTCTATAAAGCTCATATCATAACGTTCAATAGTTCTATTCTGCTCGAGCCGAAATTTTTGCTGACATAAGATCCTTGCTGATTTCATTTGATTAGGCTCGCGTTTGTCGAAGTGCGCTCCTCTCTCTTGCATTTCTATTAGTAACAGTCCTTCACCCTTTCTATTCGAAACCCTCTATGCTATTTTTTTGACATATTTCGGGAAAGCGGTGGATGTTTACCAATCACAAATAGTCCTCTCACAGTACCCTCTGAGGAACACAGAAGACCTTGGGTTGGTCGAGTTCGAAGAACTAGTTGAAGTTCGAAAGAATGATTTTGGCCCTAGAAACATGTGAAACACCTCTACATATCCTACCAACAATGCTACGGTTGTAATTTCCTACAGTATCCCACGACTCTTCGCGCATGGCCGATTGGGATTGGCGGGAAATAAACGATGAGACGTTGTCGCAGTTGTGTGTGTTCCATGTGCCGGATAAACCGGTTCAGCACCAGGTGAGTGCTTGATGCTTCCTTGCAGGACTTCATCATCAAAACTTTGTCTTTAGGATGCAAAAAATCGAGCGATCACCTCTCTACCGCTCAATCTTACCATCCGACCTTCAACTCAGGACCCTTCGGTACAATTTTTCGTCTAGATCTGTAACAGAACGGTGTCTTTGCACTGGTACTCCGTTCTGTTTTCTACTTTCGTCACCAAGAAACGCTGCGATAAGCGATTCGTTGAAATTGCTTGATGTGTACACAGTGCTTCTAAATCGAGTCATCATTGGGCTGTAAGTATCTGCATGTACTTTTCAGCGCATGGGTGTTTGGTCCGTCGATTACATTCCCCGTGGTGTTCGATTCGGACCTCTGCTCGGAGAGGTAAAGATGAATGGAGCCGACTGCGCACCGATCTGCCCGGCTGAAGCTTCCAGTGCTGGTGGTTCTTCTGGAAGTGGCCCTTCCACGCCTACTGCTCCCACCTCTTCACCGAAAGAATGGAAGGTTGGTTTGGTCTTTCTCGATAGTGTTCCCCCTTTTTTCCCAGCCGTTGATCTGAAGCCATTGGAGTTCTTCGATACCATTTCGATTATTTAAAATAGGACTGAATAAATAACTGAAAAAGGCAATTCCAATGAGAGCGTTGCTTTCGAGATGGACTTACATAACGGCAAGGACGAGTAGAGGAATTAAGGTTGAGCTCCAGGACTTTGTCAAGACTCAACAATATTCTGGTAGTGGGAGGGACCTGGCAGTTGGGAGGATATTCTAGGGACATTTTTTTCATAGGTGTAGTTAAGATCGAGTTGTGGTAGATACCATCTGTACTCCATAACGGGGAAAGGGATATGACAACTTCTGGAACATTGGTACTTTTATACAGGTCATGTCACCGTCTGGTGGAAGAGCACTGAAGACAATTGTGGTCGAAGATGAAAGTCGCTGCAATTGGATGAAGTTCGTCAATGTTGCCGTCAGTAACGAAATGCAAAACTTGGTGGCCTGCCAGGTACACTCTAGAAGATTTCATGGAATCTCTCAGAGATGGGAGCATACTAAGAAAGAAGTTAGAAAGAGTAGTCAACTTTGAGTGATTTCCTCCATAATTCAGATGGAGAAAGACATCTATTTCTACTCTATCCGCTCGATAAAGCCAAACAGCGAACTGACCTTCTGGTTCAGTAAGGACTACGCTCAGAAATTAAATTATCCGGTCTCGTGTGAAGCGACAAGGACGGGTGAGTCAGCTGTGTGTGCAAATTCCTTATTCTAGCAACATTGCCGTGTTTGCAGCACCAAAGCGCAGCGCTCCTCCACCCCCACAACAGCCATGGGCGATGGAGGATCGAGCCTCACCCCAAGAGGCGTTGGACTACAGCATGAAACGTGATGCAATCGAAAGCAGCCGTAGTGAGAAGGCCGATCGTGGCGATAGCTCCGATGTGGACGTCGGAGACGACGGCGAATCCGAGAAGAGCAATTCGAATAGGTTTGTAAGAATCCTAGGGGGACATCGTCTTCAATGCGACGAGTACATGAATTTACCGTTGCTTAGAAAAGAATTCAGCAGTTCTCCTCCATCGTTGGCAGAGGTGCAAACCCGTCCGAACGTCATACAAAATCCAGTCCATCGTCCTGTCCCAACCCGCCTTACGTCTCTTCCAGCACCTGCTCCTGTCAGGCCTAGCCCTCTAAATCCGCTTTCCTTGTTCCAGGACTACTTCAGGAGAACTCAACAACTGAGTGAGTTTCAATCGCAAGCGTCAATCACGTACATAAAGCGTTAGCTTGCTTTCAGGTGGGGGAGGGCTGTGGGTGCCTCAGTCAACACCGGCCGCAGCAGCCACTGCAGCCACTGCTGCAGCTACCAGAATTACTGCATCCGGGAGACCGAGCGATGCTCAGCCAATTCTCGCCGCCACTGCTGGCAGCGGATTTGGCAATTATAATGGGATTTACGGAACTCATGTGAGATATCTGGTGGTATTGAAGAACTTTTTGGTGATAAAGTAATCAGTTCAGGAAGTGAAGCCAATCTTTTCGGCAGCAACTCCGGCTTTCACAGGTGGAAGCGTATCGGCTCATTTCGGTGGAGGAGGAGGAGGAGCCTCTTTTCCTGCCCCTCCGTTTCCAGCATCAAGTACGCCTAATCACAACGAGGGATACGGCACTCCAAAAGTAACACTTGTTTACATTCTTTCCCAGAAAAGCGATAAGACCAAGGTTATGCCTTTCAGTATATACAACAACAAGAAAACGGTAAGACTCGTTACGCTTGTAAGGAGTGTCACAAGACTTTTGGACAGCTTTCAAATTTGAAGGTACATGTCAGGTGGGTCTAATTCTATAAAACGGCCCTCGTAACTCGTATAATTCGTCGTGGAATTCTCAAGTAGAAACAACGTCGTTGTAGGACTCATACTGGCGAACGTCCCTTCAAGTGCACGGTCTGCGGAAAGGAATTCACCCAATTGGCGCATTTGCAAAAGCATAATCTCGTGCACACAGGTAAGAGCCCTGTCTAAGACATTTTGTCGTGATTCGCATGAATGTTCTCAGGAGAGCGTCCTCATCGCTGCGACATCTGCGACAAGCGTTTTTCATCGACATCGAACTTGAAAACACATTTGCGACTTCACAACGGGCAAAAGCCGTATGCTTGTGATGTGTGCAGCGCCAAATTCACTCAGTACGTCCACTTACGCCTCCACAAACGGTTGCACGCCAATGAACGACCGTACGCCTGTATGTCGTGTGGCAAGAAATATATCAGGTACGATCGTACTGTAAACATTACTGTCTGCATAGCATGGCTTACACTCCTGCGCAGAACCGTTTGGCATTGTTGCTTTTGGTGGGAATCTAATCACTTCTGGTTTTTGTGAAAGGGGGTGGAGAATAGGTGATGACATTTGGATGCGTGCCTTTGACGGAAGCTAACCCTCGTCGTTCTCACTACCAGATTCCGTAGACTCCTGCTACTATGAAACGTGACGGAAAAGAGTGTAGTTTGATCCTGTCCGTCTTGTCTACTCAACATACTGGTAAAGTACCAAGTCGTGTATTGAAATAGGCTGGGATTCTTGCAACGATATACAGTACAACTTAAGGATAGGGATAAAGGATAAGTCTTAGAGCCTTGATCAATCCCGTCTGAGGGATGCGCCCACGCATTCGACTCCCATTCAGAATCGTAGTGGCGTATTGAATGAGTATGTGACCTATACGATGACTTGCGGTGGTCAGCCAATGTACAAGTCAGTGCTTTTCTCCTCTCAGACGAGCCTGGTACCAATTGACCGAACCAGGAGGGTTGGAAGGCTTGGTTGACCTAGGCAGATATCGACCCGGGATTTGAACCCATAACCATGCGTATGTGAAGTGCGCCACTTGCCCCTACACCACTTCTGCCCACAATACAACAGTGTAGAAATGCAAGACAATATAAGGAGACATTGAAAGCGTTTCCATGGCTTTCATTGCTGGTTCCAAAAACATTCCTCAGTCCCCAAAGCGTGCCTTGGGAGCCCATTTTTTGGTTATTATGAGGATCTTACTTCCTTCGCCGTACCTTGAGATAGTTCTAGTCAAGCTTACTACTTTTTACATAATCAACAATTTACATGCTGCCAATAACTTTGTTCCTGACCAACACATCGATGCTGTATCCTTATCGCAAGAGGTTTTCAACTTGCTCATTCTCACTGCGATGTACGGATAAGAAAGCTCAAGAAAAAGTAGACTTTGGAAAATAATCTTGAAGCTTCCCATTCGGAATTTCCCAAATTTTTGAGGTGAAATTCTGATGGTAGCACAGTCTTGCCGTGGAAATTCTAGCGAATCCCGAAACCTCATAGCGTTCATTCACAAGCATAGTTCTTATTTTGGGGTATATCCGCTAATTGTGCAAGACAAATCGACTTGCACGGCAGAAATTGACCTTGCGATTACAAAGTGAAAAAGTGGAGCTGGGTCAAGGAGACAGTACCGTTGTCTTGAAAATTAGTATACAGTAACCCGTTTGATGTATTTTTAATTCGAGCGATGTAATGCAATGTAATTTATAGATGGAAGAAGAAGCGCATTCAAAATTTTTCTTCTTTCACTGGGATTTTTCTAATAGTAACGTTATAATGTGTTGCCATCCTGATGGATCAGTTCGCTGCTGTGGAATCCTCATAGTTGGCTAAAAGTTTGCTTCAAACTGTCTAAAAAAGTCAGTATTCCTTAAGCGGTGCACTGCAAATGTAGGGAAATGCCTTTCATATCACGCAAATCTTCAGACCTCTTCGAGGACCCTGCCTATGTAATCGTGTTACAGCCCTTCTGGTCTTCGAACGCACTGGAAGACGACTACCTGTAAACCAGATGAAAAAGAGATGAAGATGGAGAGAGAAGATGAAGCCGTATCGTCCACTACGCCAATGTTGGCTGCACCGCCACCCTCATCACATCAGCAACCGTCCTCATCACACATGTCTGCTCCTTCTATGTCTCTTCACCATGATCCAAACATGAAGGTGGGTGTCTGAAGTCTTTCAATGGTCTGAAATCAGCCTCCTTCACTCTATTTTAGTTCAAGGTGGAACCAATGCAGATGAACAATTTGCCATCCTACTCCGGACTACCACCGCTGTCATCGTTGCCCTCGCTGCATTCATCCTTGCCTTCGTCCCTTTCCTCTGGATTCTCGTCCTCGCTGTCCTCGTCTCTCTCGTCGAGTCTGGGCACAAGTAATCTGCACGATCCATCCAGTTCACTAAGAACTCCCCTAAGGCTTCCAGAATTGAATTCCTTGAAAGGCAATATCCTACCTAGCCTAGGATATCAATGAACATTCTTATCTTCGTTAGAATAGTAGAACCGATGTCTCCTAAGTGTCCTAATGAATAGAGATTGTGAACAGCAATAATAACACTGCCTGCTTTCCTGCAAACTTATGAGTGCATTCATTTCTCATATCCTAGATACACTGAATGTAAATACACCAAATAAGGATTATAAACATAGTATGACGTTCAGGTTTCCAAAAAACCGGCCTTTTCGTAATTACCAGTTACTTCCACACGGCTTTATTCGTTGAATCAGAGGATACGTTGCATCTTCGTCGCTTGCTCGTTTCCATTTTCCACAACCACGCATTTTATTTGTTATTCTTTCTTTTTTTGCTATAACTTTGTTCTTCAGAATGTTATTTATTTCTTCAAACTTCGTCTGCAAGGTTTTTGGTGTTTTGGGTCTTAACACGACCGCGGATGCCGGCGAGATCCCGCCCTCGCGTCCATATCGTGTAATATAATAATATCTGTGATTTCTTCTAATACTGTCGTCTCTTCTTTACCTGACCTCCTTCAGTACATTGATGTATCATTTCATTGCCCTAATAAAATCATCTCACATCGGAATCCAACCTTTCATATGAACAAACTTATAGATTTTTAGATTTTTAATTGCCATGGACAAGTGCGGTGGTCGAAAACTTAGCAAGAACTTAACTATGTGGAATTTTACTTACCACAACTCTAAGGGTATGGTGCAGTAGGTTCGAAATTGCCGCATCGCGGCGAGAGGGACGCCGCGCGCGAAGGAACGCAGCAGAATGCAGCAGCGGGTAAGACTGCAGCAACAAGAGAACTAACAGTAGAATCAAGCCTAAATCAATGATCCCATATCGATTGTGCTGTATGACTAAGGCTGGAGCTGTAACAGCGGCGAAGCGAATGGTCCACGACAGCCGCGCTCTTCGAATCGATTACACAAAACCGATCCTACTGCCCGTCTCCCCCACTTTGAATTTCTTTCTCCAGACGTCTTCGCTGGTGGGAAGCAGCTGGCCATTCCAAACTAGTTAACTTGTCCTAGAAGTTGTATTACAGCAAAAGTTGAAGAAGAATGAATGTCAGCTAAAGCAGAATTAGAAGGCTGGGCCGTCTTCAGATTGCTTTCTCATTGGCCGCATACCCGTCGCGCACATGGATGTGAGATAGGAGGTCATCTGTACCGGGTTAGCACTCTTCAAGGTGCACTTCGCGATAAGTTCATGTACTTGTAATGGATTAATAGCGAACGTTTCAATGTAGAGTTCTAAGTGGGTGGAAAAAGAGCTGACGAATTTCTCAGGAATCCAGAATGTAAATATTTTTTGAACTGAGTCATTTCTATCTTTGGACGAGGTAATGGTATGACGAGGTTGTTTGGACGAGATCGTAGCTGCTGCACGTGCAATGTGTGCAGTTGGAGAAAAAATACGCGATGCAGTTAAATCCATACATTTTCGCGGTACAAACGGCAGTGGTTGTGGGAATGGATGTGTGAGCTCTTTTTTGCCCCCCCCCCTTCAGGCTTGTGGTCCCTCAGGTGAACTATCTTCGAAACCTGTGGATTGGGATCAAAAGCATGTCCTAAACAAGTGTAGTTTCAAGCAAAATCTGAGCCCGAAGCACGTCAGATACTGCCAGCTTTTATTTAAGTTTAGTAAAAATGTGGCAAATACTTCAGCTCCACTGTATAACAAGGTGCGTAGAAATGTTGTGAGGATGCAATGAGGACGTTATTAATATCAAAATAGTTTGATCCTTCATTTCCACGATATTATACAATGAAAATCCTGTTTTTCTTGAAAGTTTGCGGTCGCGACGTCTTGATTTGTTGATTCATTCGTTGATTCCTCCAAAATTGTACAAATGATAAGATGTAAAAAGGTGTAGGTACGATTATTGTCAATGATTTCAATTTTGTCCGTTTTGTCTTGAAATTCGCTAAGGCCCGGCGACCTTGCAAGTGCTCTTCTTGGCCTCGGCGGCTTTGACTATAACATGCTCTTCTTCCATTTGGACCTTCTTCCATTGTATCTCTGCGCAGCTTCGCTCGTTCAGGCCTTGGTTGTTGATTATTCCTTGCAGTGAAGTGTTCTTGACTGATGATAGTTTTGGAGCTTCGTTTCCTGAACTCCGCAAATATCTCCACACGGACAAAGCAGATGTAGCGCGTAGGAGAAGCAAGTACGGTCATGCGTGAACCTTTGGAACAACAACAACACTGTCATTCAGGCAAAACATTCTGACTTCCAAGTCAATCGCAAATGAGAGAGTTGCTGGAATTGCGAATTAGAAGGGATGGTGTGACTCGACATGATAAGCTCGAACAGTCTTCCACCCAGCTCATTCCATTTTGTTATGTGAATTCTGTAGCACCGAACCCCGGTTTCTCGAAGTAAGACCGTTTCAACGGAAGGCACAGTTACACGCGGAACACAATAAATTTATCCGAAACGAGGACAACGACAAATTTGAACGGAAAACAACAATCAAATGAAATAACAATAAAGACAATGAATGAAAAAAATGGAATCACTAGAACACTCGTGGTCCAGGCGATTAAGTCTTCAGGCCGGGTTAGAGACGTCGGATTCGGGCAGTGGAAGCCGGGTGGGAGAGGCGCAGTTTGGGCTCCCGCTGGGTTCCGCAGACAAGAAGACTTTTGAAACGCTCCTCGCCCTCTTTTTATCCTAATAACTCCCGCCAAAACTGCACCTCTTTAGCGGTCGATCATTCCCTGACCTATCTGCACGAGTTCGACCTCCCTCATGCCATAATTCCAATATGTAGCTTTTCAGCCGTTCTGGAGGCCAATATTGGCGGTAGCAACATCGACGATGACCTTGAAGAGGGCGTGGTTTTCTCTGATGTGTCCCAACAGGTCCATTTACAGTCCTTCCAGTGTTCTTCTTCGTTACTTGTTCTTTAAGCGTAGGTAAAGAAGATTGTTGAAATAGATGTTGACCATATCTTTTCAATCCTGCGCCCGATTCGAGTTGTCAATCTTTCATATACGTAAACTGATGTTCCTAGCCAGATGCGTATTTGAGTTTGTGGAGCCCCTAAACACCATACGGCAAGGAGGTCTCTGGTCTGGTTGACGTGGAGTGATCTGCGGCAGATTTTGCTAAGTTTGCCGGCTCCACGTGGGTGGCTGGCAGACCCGTGTCTCGAAGTGCCGGTAAATTTCCATGACCCTAACCAATCAGTGGCGAAGGGCACCATGGCCGGCTGGTGCTGGCTTACTCTGCAGCGTTTGCCCACAGATCTCAAAGCCAGGGCCCTTCTAGCCACTTTAATCCTAACTCTATCGCTGGGGTTGAGTTCTGACCTCACTGAGTCTTTCCTACATTTTCGCCTCTGCTCTAGGGAAGTATGCTCGCCGAGCGACTCTCTGGTCTAGGTCTCTGTTGTTGCGCATCAATTCCTACTATTTGTTAACTAATCCTGAGTTTTATGACGAAGCATTGTTCCAACTTTATGTTCATTACACCTTGTTTGGTTTGTTAATTTTTTATTTTTTCTCTAAGTCTATATGATCGTTTTCGCGAACAGCCGTATATCTCAATACAGCGCGTCATGGAACGCATAAATAAATAAAAAATAAATAAATAAATAAAATATTTGCGAGGACACCCACACTGCACTCTGACCGATGACGACGTGCTTAATCTTCTTAGATTGCATCATCAGGACTTCGATACACACTTCCAATGCAAGCGTTCTTGGTTTGGAAGTTCAAATGCCATCTTAGTCCTCCTTTTGAGCAGCCTGTTTTAGCCCTAAGATTCAGCAGCCTTTCCCGAGCGATCCTACCCAAGGTTGCCGTATTCGGAGCTCCCACAGATTCAGGGTAATGGAGCCTATTCATGTTACTGTTTTTGGCATGAGGGTACCGACGAGGCCAGGCTTTGACGTGAGAGCTAGGCTCGTTCCGGGTTACTAGCCAGCTATCCTCGAGTGCACAAGAGGCTTTTATCTGAAGGCGGCCTCAAATCGCCTGCCGGATACTTCCCACTCACTCAAATGCACGCTTTCGGCTGAGCTAATGTGCAGGATACAAACCGCACCCGCAGACTTCCCACACACGTATGCTTGAAGACACCCCGAGCTACAGAAGGTATATAGACCAGCCCAGCAGAAGGAAGGAGTTCATCCCCTGAATCCACCCCTCTCTGACTAGGTGTCGGCGACTTTTGATGTGTGATTTACTCTCCGATCCGTCACCTAAAGTGGCCAGTTACCAATCAGCTAGAGATTTCAGTGAGAGAGAACCCTCAGTGAAGGAGATTCGCGACTTCCCTTCGTCGTCCCGACGAAATAGTTATTGCATCTCTAGGGGTAATGCAGAAGGTCATTTACGACACCTGCTCTGACTTGCTCGGATATCTTCGACAGTAAGGTTTACCTTCTGCCTACCATCCTAGCTTCACACAAGTCATCCTCAACAGGACAGGCAGATTATTAGACGAGGGGCAGCCATGCAATCAAGCGAGGTTTTGGAGAGGGTTAAGTGCAATCGATCACACCACACTGTCGGGTGAAGTATCGCGAGAACACAGGATACCGTATTTCCGACAATCACCGATTTAAAAGGGGCTTTGTTACCATCGAATCTGAAGTGGTTGTTAAAGCTTAGGCAACCGGAGTGTTCCTACTCAATGAGTAAAGACTTTCATTGATTCTCCGATAACTTCACGACCAGATTTTCTCGTACCTCACGAGGAATTCATTGTCAACGTGAAGAGAGGGGTTGGCAAGGACCATAACATTTTCAGCGGCCGAAGCCTTCTCGTCTCGTTCGATCCTATTGATCTATTTAGCTTGCATAGTCAGATCATGGACACGTAATTCTGATGCGAACGTTTGAGCACTGAAAGTACAGTGCGTCATCTCGGTCCTTCTCCCTTTTAATAGCCTCTTATTGACCTGAGTTTTCGGCAGCCTGTCCTAAGCGTAAACAGTGGGTAGACACTGGATAGCTAGTCAGGCAATTTCAGGGAGGACATGAGGTAGAAGGAGCCCCGAATCTCTTTTCAAAGGCTTTCTACTCAAATGCAAACCTTTGGCATAGCCGATGTGCACGATACCAACAGCACTCGCTCTGTCCAGATACGAAATTATAGCGCGCTGTGCCTTCAAAGAAGCTGGAAAAGTGGGGCAGTGTTAAGATATTTCAGAAACGCACTTTTCACGAGATCTCGACGATAAAAGACTAGCCTGACTAGTAAAAAATACTAGGTCAATCAAGCATTGCAAACTCATCAAATGTTTAGCTTCCAAGTCTGTCTATGTCGGACTTTTGCAGATCTTTGTACTTCTTTGTACAAGTCATATATGTTCAATAAAATAACATCGCCCTCAGATGAAAGCCAAATACAAAATGCATGTCAAACCATTTATTAGCGTTAGCCACTCAAAATTTAGTGCTTCTTAAAGCAGGGGTCATAGAGCCCGTTACATAGCCCCAATGTAACCAAAGTCCAATCATTTTTGCATTGCGGTAGATGCTGTGTAATGGCATTTATTTTATCAGATGGTCAATCAAAACACTTGCCAACAAGATAAGAGCACACTCTCTGTCCTTGCAATGTTGTTCATCGCACAAATCGTCGTGCTTGCATTCGTTCCCGTCAATTCTGTGAGTTAACTGTGAAATATTTTTTGTTTCTCATGAAGAATAATTAGGTTGACAAAGAGTAATGGGCATATGAAATAAAAACGTGAAACCAATTGGAAAACAACAGTTTAGCTTCACCTCCGAAAATCTTTGTCGTCTGAGAAGAGCCTTCTCAGAAAACGTTAATTCGTCAAAAAACTTAGTCACTCATCAGATAGTGCGCAGCTTCCAACATCATTCCTCTCGACGAGGGCCCGCTCCCACTGTGATAATCAACAACGTGGTGCCAAACATGACAAAGAGAGCAGACGGTTCCTGATATGGAGCAGGACGTCAATGTGGATGAACAGTTCTTATTAGCGCTCACTTCCATTGATCGATGCAGTACTTTAGAAGTTTATTGTAGCCCGTTCTTGGTTGTAGAGTTCTGTCTGGACAAAGACTACGGTTACTGGTGTTCTAACGAAATAATATGTTTGACGTTACCCGAGACTTTGAAGCACTTGTTCGGAAATCCCGTGAGCATCAGGAATTTTCGAAGACCTCCCCTCTTTCCTTTCTTCGTATGTACTTCCTATTGAGCCACAAAATCGACATACTGCTATTATATAATTATTACTGATCTTTTAAAACTTCTGTAAACCATACAAAAGAAAAAAANCAAAGTTCTCGAGAACCTCTGTGAATTCATGTTCTTTAGTAGAGTTGAAGTAGTGTTTATCGATTTCAAGATCATTTCCTTCACACTGTTCCATTGCAGGAAACTCAAATTTGTGGCGAAGGATTCTCTTGTTCAGACTCAACCACTTGTTGCCGATTACCGGTGAGAAGGTTTCTTTTTCTGTCAAGCCATTTGTAAGTTTTTAAGTCGGTAATTCGTCGTTTAGAGTGGTGACTGGGGTTGTTGCCCTTTTCCGAACGCGGTATGCTGCAGTGACCATATCCACTGTTGCCCTCAAGGTACACAATGTGATCCTGAAAAGCTTCATTGCACTAAAACAAATGTGAGTTCTTTTCGGGCAGCTGGTTTTACGGGCGTGTTTCCGTAAACCTTTTCTTTCTATGTCTCTAAATCTGAATGGAATTTGGGTTTGTTAAAGTAAACATACCCATCATAGGGTGAAATATTTCCTCCACGAAGGAAGGGTAATGCACAGCAATCAACGGATGAGAATGAAATCATATGCCCCGATCGACGGAGCAAATGCCCATCAGGTACCGTTTAGTTGTCAGTAATTCACATCGTTCTAGCAGTATTTTAGGAAGCACATGTTGTATGCTTGTGAGTGGAAAGTATGGATGTTGTCCTGTAGAAGGAGCTAATTGCTGTGCCGATCACCTGCATTGCTGCCCAAGCGGCTTCACATGCGATACATCTGGACAGCGATGTATCCAGGATAAGGCAAGCCGCGGATCAGCTTTATCTTTGATATTTATTGTAATAAAATTTCAAATAGAAACTTTCGAATCCAATTCTGCCAACAGCACAACAGTTGTAGGAAAATTACGGTTGCCTGGAGTGTTGAGACCTGAAAATGGAATTTCCTTACAAGCACATTCGTACTTACCTACCAGTTTTTTCCAAATTTCGCGCAGTGGACATTTTTTGGAGTCGAATCCTCCTACAACAAAGATTAATAAATAGCAGTGACCCTTTCAAATCATACGTGTGCCATCTCGGCCTGCTCTTCAACATTCCAAATCTGGAAGCGGTTTGGGACCAAACATGCACGAGCCTTACTTACCTGTGTGTCCACAATTAGAGCAATAGTGACGAAGTGCAGCGATGGAAGAACGGCTAAGACGGCAAACTTAGAGGCATGACATATGGACATGATTTCTTGATATACTCAACCGTTTAAAGGCATAGTTCACGATGATTCTGAGGTAATCTTTTCAATTTGAAAAACGGAAGTGTTGATGTAGAGGGGTACATCGGTGGCGGAGAAAGTGAGAAAATCCGACTACTTGAAGCTTTCTAAAAGTAGTGGAAGTGGAGGTTGTACGAGATCACCGTGACAGGAATGGTATGTAAGGGGTTTTTGAACGAGATTTACCTTGCTCCTATCGTACAAAGAGCTGATTTCATCGAATCATAACTGTCTGGAATTGCCTTTCACTGTCGCTATGAGCCTTAACAAGTTGTTTGAACTTCTTACATCGGTTCCTCTATAATGGTGCAGCCTCTACAAAGCCCCTGAAACTCGTCCACCAGGGCCTGAAGCATTCACACGATACAATCTCAAATTCCTTATCGTGCCCTATCCAGGACGCTTTTCGCCCTTATAACGACAGGTATGGTGCAAGGGGGAGCTACACAACTTCCGCCAAGCGCTCGTCACACATACAAGTGTTTCTATTCATTAATTTATCTAATTGATGATGGTAAGAATGATAAAATCTTTTGGATACCAGATCCATTAATACCAGCAACTGAAGTCATATAGAGACATGTGATCAAGTCATCTTAATCATAGTCATTCAAGTTCTGGCCTTTCAGAACTTCTTCGTGGTAAGCTCTTACCGGAAATTCGATGCTACTCCACTACGCAAAAAACCAGCAGTCAGGATGAAGTATCCCTACCGAGTTAGTTCTTGAATAAGTTCAATGTATTTACAATACCAATGAGAGCGATTCTTAGAGAAAATATGTAGATTTAAGGAAGAAGAAGCAGATGAACTCACTCCAGTTAGATGTGGCTCCGAGAAAATCTGCCCAGCGCTCACCACTTGCTGCGAGGTCCACAAAGATGGGAAGATTCATAACATGTGCTGCCCATTGCAGGATGTAAGTAAGAATCAAATATGTCTTTTTAGTCCAGGTAATAATTTTGTTTTTTGTAATATCACTCACAGAACTCATCGACCATTTACTCTTTCCCCAAAGCTTCTCATAATAATGCGTGGTGCTAGGTTTTTTGGGATTTCGGACGTCACTGAATGACTGCCTTTGTAAGATTCCCATATAGTAACAACTCAGAGTGATGCACTAGCAGTGTCGAATATTTGCCATCGATAACTCGTCGATGTTCTCCTTTCAGAAGAAAGAGGCACACTCGAAAGCGCTGTTGACAGCATTCTCTTCGTATTCGTTTTCGACATTTTTGGCGAGATTATGAAATACAGTCACACCTCGATCTCCCATTTGACTCCTCAGCGAATCTAGCGCTGCTTGAATGGAAAATTGAATGAGAAGAGAACGAATTCGGAATACGACAGCAATTCTGCAACTGAAGAAGCGAGTCGTCAAGCTGATTGGAATTTAGCAATACAATAAATTAAAGACACTGAGCATGGCGTGCCTATGATCTTCTGATTGTTTCATTTCAAAAATGCTCATAATGTTAGCAAAAATCTGTGTGCCTTTCGATCAGCACAGTGTGTTCTCTCCTACAATAACAGAACAGTATCCACTATCCGTTCCCATTCGGAGCATTCGGTTTTCATTAGCCAGGCAGTCAGCATGCTGCTATTATATAAATATTACTAATCTATTTGAAATCCATAGAAACTGTTAAAATCTTGACTATGACTAAAAGATAGGTAAACATTAAAATGGAGGAAACGTCTACGTACGAGCTTGGAGAGCAGACTCAAATGCAAACTGTAAGAGAATCAAGGATCGCGAGTTGGGGAAGCTTCTAGCTTATTTCACTCGCGATCCTCAAGCTTCTTCGCAACCTGCCGGTAAGAATGGCTCCGCGACGCTACAAATATAATATTAGGTTATTGCAAGGAGATACTCGTACACACGTCTCGAACTCTTTTACGGTATTTAGCGCTATCATCCAGAAGATGGGCAAAAACTCTTCTCGTTCGCTTTTCCTCCATTAAATGAACGGGTTCCTGGAGCAGAGAGCTGCAGATAGTCGTCGTGAGAGTCGTGAGAACAACGCTCCTATTGTTCTCCTAGACAATCCAGCTCTCATCTCCTGTCCTAGAATCCTGCATGAACTCCTTCCGATTAAACAGCAACTAGGTGTTTCAGACGCGTGTGAGAGATGATCGTGTCTCAGTTGGTCCACTAACATGCAGTGAGAACTTTATGACAACCGTATTTGAGAAAGTGTCGAACAAAGTTGCTCTGATCGCA